CCTAATAATTTGATGAGGGTCTTCCTCGTTTCGGATTGAGGCGAAAACAAACGTCAAACAACCTTGATAGTTAATTCAGCACTTCAAAACAAAGGTACACCTAGGGTATCATTACAATACCGGATCATAACGATCTGGATAGTTCTCATCCTATAAGCTAACTAAGCGGTAACTAGTCAAGTGGTAGGTACCGGAAGCATTGACAACCTGGCGACTGTTTCGAAACCCTTGTTTTGACACATAGCTCGTCAATATTTTTTACAGTGTATAAAATGTTGATATCCTGCTAGCTAGCTAAGTTCATTGGCCGTGTTTTCCCAAAAATTCGGTTTCGTGGAATAAGTATAAGGTTGAGAAAATCGAGTTTTAAAACAGTGATGATTTTTCTGGGGTAAGCCCGGCATAGGGGTAACGCCGGCCACCTCCCCAGCGCTTTACCTACAACGAGTTGATGAAACCTTTCCAAATATTAACGGAAAGTGAAATATTAAGGTACTGATTAGCTCTGGACATCTTAGAGTTTATGTCATAACTGGTATTTTAGCTAGCGTCTACTACATGTACAGTACAGGTCGATGAAAATCGTGATGCAAAATTGACAAAAAATGTGTATTTCAAAATTCCTTAAAATTTATTTTTCTTTTTACCTTAATGCATCATATTGCATAGGGGAGAGTGGGGTAAGATGCCCAGGGTGGGAAAGACGCCCCACCCCCTCTAGCGGCGAAACAATGAATCGAACCTGGAAATTAATGTTCATAACGTAAAGCGGAAGCCTGCCTTGTTAACTGCACAAAAATTTGCGAAGCTCAGTTGGGCAACGGCTGGCTGGTGATTGCATGTTTTTTATTTGCTGCTTTTAAAAAATATTTTGGTGTCAAAACATTGTAAATATCAAAGAAGATAGATAATTTTTGCCTCTCTTGTTATAGTCGTGATACATTAACATGCGTGTACTGTGTCCCAAACAGTTTGTTTCAGGGTGTAGTTTTATGGCTAACAAATTGTGCTGATTTAATGTTACTTCGGTACCTTGGGGTAAGATGCCCCCTGTCCTGATGGGGAAAGACGCCCCCTAAATCTGTAGGCTGTCCTTCAAGCAGCCCGTCAAATCATTTATTACATACTTGTGATGAGACACAAAAGCCGATCTGGTACTATTGAGAGTCCAGTACGGTCGGGTGCTCCCCATGCCGGTCTCTCGGCCCACACAGCGACTTTTGGGGCGGCATCTGACTCTGAGCCCTCACGACGGCCTCTGTGGGCCCCATTATTGGCTCCAGGGCCCCTCACGACATCCTTTGAGGGCTCCCACGTTGGCTCCACGGGCCGCGCTGGCATCTGGGGTCCCCACGATGGGCTTGAGGGCCCCCAAGCATCATAAATACCTATAAGGGCCCCACAGTGGTCTCCGAACGCCACCACGGAGGCTTGTTTGGCCGCGCTGGACTATGATGGCCCTAACGATGACCTCTGAAGCCCCTTACGACTACTTTTGAGGGCCCTTACGATGACGTTTGATGTCTACTGCAGGCTCGAAGGGACTACTGATTCGTTCAGGCGATTCACGTGCCCATTTATGTCACTTATAGTGCAGGGGGCATCTTTCCCAACGCCAGGGGGCGTCTTTCCCACCCTGTGGGGTAAGATGCCCCCTTTCACTTATTCAGGAAAATGCTTAACCCGCGCCCCGTAGGGGGGGCCGAAACGGCCCCCCTGTCCTTTTCGGTCGATATCTCCTAAACGGCTGGAGATATCGCCACCAAACTTTCAGGACCTCTCCGGGCATCAATTTTACACATTGTGACCAAAAATTTTTCCAGAGGCTATGATAGGTTGGCCACAAATGACGTCAGAGTGACGTCATGTTCTGTCATTTTCGACCGAAAAAAGACCTTCGCGAGAAGACCTGTCAGGACTACAGATTTGAAGATACAGAAAAATGATCAAGACATAAAAGGTGTAGAATTGACATGGCTACAAAACTGCTATCTCGAATTTTTGAAATTTTTGAGTTTTGACCCCCAAAAATCAAAAACGCATTTTTTTTGGATATATTCGCCAAAAAATCCAAAAAGTTTTTTGCGTTTCAAAAAAACCGGAATATATGTGATAGTGCCTACCGTCTTCTATCTGCATACCAAATTTCAGATCGATACCTCGTTTTTTGGCCAAGTTATAGCGAAAAAAACTGTTCAAAAATGATGACGTCAAATTTTCAAACTCAATTTTTGGCGATTCTAGAACTCGTAGAGCAAAACGAAGACCACCATTAGACTCCCCGTGACAAACTGCATCGAATCGATACCCATTTAATGCAAAAATATCAACTTTGAAATTTGACCTAATTTGACCTGACCTTGACCTGACCTTCACAAAAACGTGACCTAGGCTGGCCCCAAAGGCTGCCTAACCCACATAATCGCATTTGTCATGTAAAATGGACCATAAAACATGTATCACACGACACATTCATATTGTGACCCCCGGTGACCTGACCTCGCTGTGACCTGACCTGGTATCAGTGACCTCAGATAGCAAAGTATGTGTTTGACGAACAATGTACCATCGATGGTTTTCAATAAATTACCAATTTACTCGCTTTCACAGCACATTTCTTGAATTGCCTGTGAACGGTGAAAATCTGACCTTTGACCTGACCTGTGACGTCATCGGTTTGACCTAGGTCAATGAAATTTGGTCACAAGGTAGTTCCCGGGTGGGGCTATCGAACGCCGTTTGAATTTTGAAAATCGGCCGGTAACTTTCCGAGATCTTAGGGGGGTGCCGAAACGCCCCCCCCCCCTACGGGTGGTAGGGTTCGCCGGTAGCCCTACGGGGCGCGGGTTAATAGCAAAAAAGTTATCATATTTCAGGCGCGAAAGTGTGATATTTTTGGAGAAAAATGATGTCGGCTTCCGTTGAACCTCGAAGTTTTTGCTTTCCGATCGTCATTTTCGAATAATATATGACATAGTAAAACCCTGGGCATCTTTCCCCACTCTCCCCTATCATTCGACTCGGCTGATGAAGAAGAACACAACAACACTATTTTTGAAGCTCTAGCTTCATTGTCTGTCGCGTTATCTGCAAAAACGTAGTTTGACCCTAGTTGACCTTACGTGACATGACTGGCTTTGTCTATGATAACATGTTTATTTTCGAAATTTATCTTTGATCTAGGTGTAAACCAAACCTGCTCAGTACCTATTATCTCATGGAAACAGTGGTTTAGTGGCATTGCTCTCGGTTGGGGGAAAGCTTGGCCACTCGCCCGGGGTTACCCCAATGTGCTAATTTTTATTTTAGAACAGCGATATTCGAAAAAATGTCATACTTAAGCCAGCCTGCCTCGTCACCCCTCACTACAAACACTTAAACGGTCCTTACATAACATTCGTATAAATATTAGTACTGTATGGTTTAACATTAACAGTGCAACATATCTCACTTTTTAGCTAAAAACCCTTAACCCGCGCGGGGCTGGGGTCTCCAGCCGAACGCGCGGGGCTGGGGGGGGGGGGTAAATTTTACCCCCCTGTTATCTCCCGAACTAATGGTCCGATTTGGAAAATTCAAACGCCAATCGAAAGATCTCATCACGAACAACTAAAAACATGTACTTAATTTTAAGTTTGAGGTCAAGGTCAAGGTCAGGTCAAGGGTACAAATTGCAAGTTCCTACAGTATCGGCCTTGCACCGTAGTTGCCGAAGAATGGAGTCATGGACTGAGACTGATCGCCCAAAACGTGTTCTTAGGCTACCAAGACAATATTCGTTACATACAATATCATTCAGAGGTCAAGGTCAAGGTCAGGTCAGGTCAGGTCAGGTCACCAAAAACAAAATATAGAAAAGGGCATGTGCGACACATGTTTTATGGGTCATTTTACTCATAGAATTCAATAGGCACACTCAATAAGTGATATGGACCACCTCTGGATGAATTTCAGGTCGAGGTCAGGTCAAGGTCAGGTCAAGTGAGGTCAAATTTTGAAGTTGGTTGTTAAGGCCTAAAAAGGTGTCTATCTGATGCAGTTTTTCACGGCGAATCGAATGGTGCTATTTTTGTTTCCGTACGAGGTCTAGAACTTCCAAAAAAGTCATTTTTCAAAATTTTTGTGTGTCGTGACGTCATACAATTTTGAATAACTCCCACATTTTTGAACCGATTCTTCTAAAACTTGGTATGTAGGTGCACATAGACCACTTCTCTGACATATATTCCGGTTTTTTCGATACACTCAAAATTTTGGATTTTATAGCTATTTTCCCAAAAAAGTCAGTTTTTTGAAAAAATTTGGGCCGAAATCCAAGATTTTCAAAAAACCGAGATAGCCATTTGATAGACAAAGTAAAATTACGTATATCCTTTTTTGTTACGTCTTGATTCCTTTAAAAATGAAGATGTTAGCGGCGTTTGAACTTTTGCCGGTTTTGAGGTGAAAATGGCGAACATGACGTCACTAAAACGTCAATTTCTCAAAAATTTTCCGACGGATTTCGCTCAAATTTTCAGGGAAGGTGTCAAATTGATGTAAGAAAAGGTACTGAAAGTTTGGCGGCGCTGCGCGCCGCCGTTTTTGAGATATTGCAAAAATTCGTGAGGGGGGGGTAAAATTTACCCCCCCAGCCCCGCGCGGGTTAAAATATCATTTTTGCGCTATAACTTTAAAAATATGCAATTTTTGTCAGTCTTAACTTTTTTGCTGGCGTTACCTTAGCTGCCACGCTGAAAGGACAAACAGTTGAGCATTTTATTGTGAATAATTTAGCCGGAAACGGGGTGGCCGGGCTTCCCCCGCGCCCGGGCTTCCCCCGGCTTCCCCTACTCGGTACCTACTCGGGACGTGTTGGGCAAAACCTTGTCGGTGGCTGTGGCTTTCGTCCTGTTTGGAAGGTGATGGCTGTCTGTGCGAACTGCCAGGTATGCGCCGTCGCCGGCCGACGCCGTGCGGTTCGAGCTGGAGCCGGCCGAGGCGGCGGCCGGCCGGCCGGCCACGCGGCCCATGGCGATCCCGCGCCGGCCGGCCGGCCTGGCGGCGCCCGCCGAGAGCGTGCTGCTGCGCCGGCGGTACCAGATGAGTCGCAGTGCGGCCGCGGCCGAGCTGGTGCTGCGCCACCACTGCAGCTCAGAGGACGAGGACGAGCGCGAGCACCGCCGCCGCTTTGGCGAGGAGCGCGCCGCTGCGTGCGACCAGTCCGATGGCGACCAGGTGGACGGCGGCGAGGCGGCGCGCCACGGGCACATCCGGCGCCGCCAGGGCGCCGAGCCGCCGGCCCCAGCTGCCTTCAATGGTGAGTCAGGGCGCCTGAGCCGCCAGGGCGCCGAGCCGCCGGCCCCAGCTGCCTAGTGGTGAGTCAGGGCGCCTGAGCCGCCAGGGCGCCGAGTCGCCGGCCCCAGCTGTCTTCAATGGTGAGTCAGGGCGCCGAGCCGCCGGCCCCAGCTGCCTTCAGTGGTGAGTCAGGGCGCGCAAAATGCGCTTTTTAGGGGAACGGGTACTTCCCTTGATATAGTTTTTGTTGTGCTTGTGTTGGCACTGGCGGATCCAGGGGGGGGGGGGCGGCAGGGGCTAAAGCCCCCAACCATTCGAAACTCGACAGGGGCGGCAATATAAATTAGCCCCCCCCCCCCCAAATGCACCGGGATTGGTCGTTAAAATGACTGATTGCTGGTAAGTTCCAGCCTTCGATAGTGAAGTTCCTGAGGTTCGGCCGGAGTAAGATGCCGCAGCTAGCCAGAGTAAAACCAAATACGGCCCAGACTTATTTTGTTGGCTGAGGCAGACCTTGCCAGTTCTTCGGCCAGAGTGAAAATGCTGGAGCTAGCCAGAGTAAAACCAGATACAAACCAATTTTGCTGGTTGGGAGGTATCTGATCAGCTAATAGAATGGATAAATAAAACTATTCCTTATCTTCTCAGACTCGCCTTTTCTTCAACCAAATTCTGTGTGAAACAGGTACGTTTCATCCTATGACAAAAATCAAGACATGTGAGCTGTCACAACTAAAAATTCATAAGTAACGCTGTCATATTTTTCAAAATGTGTGCGTCATTGAAGCACATTGGAACCTTACTATGCTCCGGCCCGCCGGCTGTTTCTAAGCTCATATCCGGACCGCACCCAAAAAAGGTTGCCAACCCCTGCTCTAGCTTGATCAGGGGCCGAACGGCAGGGGTGTCCAACCGACACCTCCCGGCCCGTGAAGGCTGCGCCAAGCACTGACCCGAAGTGGGCTAACTGGCCAGCAAAAGCAATTTTAAGTGTTTCTAAAGTATTATAAAGCTAAAGTATTATAAGCTAAGTATTATAAAGCTAAAGTATTATAAGCTAAGTATTATAAAGCTAAAGTATTATATTATAACCCGCGCGGGGCTGGGGGGTAAATTTTACCCCCCTCGCGAATTTTTGCGATATCTCAAAAACGGCGGCGCGCAGCGCCGCCAAACTTTCAGTACCTTTTCTTACATCAATTTGACACGTTCCCTGAAAATTTGAGCGAAAACCGTCGGAAAATTTTTGAGAAATTGACGTTTTAGTGACGTCATGTTCGCCATTTTCGCCTCAAAAACGGCAAAAGTTCAAACGCCGCTAACATCTTCATTTTTAAAGGAATCAAGACGTAACAAAAAAGGTTATACGTAATTTTACTTTGTCTATCAAATGGCTATCTCGGTTTTTTGAAAATTTTGGATTTTGGCCTAATTTTTTTTTTTTCAAAAAACTGCCTTTTTTGGAAAATCATTATAAAATCCAAAATTTTGAGTCTATCGAAAAAACCGGAATATATGTCAGAGAAGTGGTCTATGTGCACCTACATACCAAATTTTAGAAGAATCGGTTCAAAAATGTGGGAGTTATTCAAAATTTTATGACGTCACGACACACAAATTTTTTGAAAAATGACTTTTTTGGAAGTTCTAGACCTCGTACGGAAACAAAAATAGCACCATTCGATTTGCCGTGAAAAACTGCATCAGATAGACACCTTTTTAGGCCTTAACAACCAACTTCAAAATTTGACCTCACTTGACCTGACCTTGACCTGACCTCGACCTGAAATTCATTCAGAGGTGGTCCATATCACTTATTGAGTGTGCCTATTGAATTCTATGAGTAAAATGACCCATAAAACATGTGTCGCACATGCCCTTTTCTATATTTTGTTTTTTGGTGACCTGACCTGACCTGACCTGACCTTGACCTTGACCTCTGAATGATATTGTATGCAACGAATATTGTCTTGGTAGCCTAAGAACACGTTTTGGGCGATCAGTCTCAGTCCATGACTCCATTCTTCGGCAACTACGGTGCAAGGCCGATACTGTAGAAACTTGCAATTTGTACCCTTGACCTGACCTTGACCTTGACCTCAAACTTTAAATTAATTACATGTTTTTAGTAGTTCGTGATGAGAGCTTTCGATTGGCGTTTGAATTTTCCAAATCGGACCATTAGTTCGGGAGATAACAGGGGGGTAAAATTTACCCCCCCCCAGCCCCGCGCGTTCGGCTGGAGACCCCAGCCCCGCGCGGGATAAAGCACGGGTCGGGTGGGCTACCATTTTGTTTTAGTTAAAAAGTATCGTTTCAGGGCTGTGACAAAAATAAGTGGCCTAAATCCGATGAGAAAACAGGATTTGGGGTACCCTAGGTTTGACTCCTGGCATGAGTTGCCCCCCCCCCCCCTCCAAACGCAGGTCTGGATCCGCCAGTGTGTGTTGTTTTTTTTTCGACTGCCTCGTGCTGCTGACTGACGCCGCTGCCATGTGTGTGTGGGCGCAGCCGAGCTGCCGGAGGAGGCGCGTGGCCCGGCGCTGGCGTCCAGCCTGCCCGTGGAGCTGGACGTGGGCCAGGAGCTGCGCCAGCTCGCCGACTCCCTGAGCCTCTCCCGCTCGGTGAGTGGGCCGCCCGCGGACTACACCATTTTCGAACCCAGTTAAGACAAATGAAGCCCAATTTAAAACTGTTGATTTCTGAATTAAAACAATCGAAAAGTGGGTTAAAACACGTGACATTCAGCTTAACCCGCGCCCTGGTGGGGTCTGTTTATAACGCGACCTGGTGGGTGGGGGGCTATTTTTTGCCCCCCCCCCCCTCGTATCTCCGAAACTACTGGACAGATCCGCAAAATTCAAACGGCGTTCGAAAGGCCTGTCAAATTTGTCGAAGGAAACCAAATTTCATTGACCTCGGGGTCACCGATGACGTCACAGGTCAGGTCAAAGATGAAATGTTTCACCGTTCACGGGTCTTCTAGGGAATGCGCTATAACACCGAGGAAAACGCATTTTGTCGAGAATCAGCGGTAGGGCGTCAGTTGCCTAGTAGATATGTTGCTATTAGAGGTCACTGGCAATACCAGGTCAGGTCACAGGTCAGGTCACCAAGGGTCACAGGTCAGGTCACATGAGCCCAACTTTACTAAGGTTGTGTGATACATGTTTTATGGCCAATTTTTCATTTCCAACTCAATGGTGTTGGTTATAAGACTATCAGGTACGGCTTAGGTCACTTTCTGGTGAAGTTCAGGTCAAGGTCAGGTCAAGGTCAGGCCAAAAAAGGTCAAATTTAAAAGTTGATAGTTTTGCATAAAATGGGCATTGAATCGATGCAGCTCGTCACGGGGAGTCTAATGGTGGTCTTTGTTTTGCGCTACGGGGTCTAGAATTGCTAAAAATTGAGTTTGAAAATTTAACGTCATCAATTTTGAACAGTTTTTTCGCTATAACTTCGCCAAAAAAAAGACGTATCAATCTCAAATTTGGTATGTGGATGGAAGACGGTAAGGACTATCACATATTTTCCGGTTTTTACGAAATTCAAAAAACTTTTTGGATTTTTCGATTATTATATCAAAAAAATCTATTTTTTGATTTTTGGGGTCAAAGTCCAAAAATTTCAAAAATCCGAGATAGCAGTTTTGTAGCCCTGTCCAATCTACAGCTTTTATGTGTATATCATTTTTCTGTATTTGCAAAGCTATAGGCCTGACAGCTCTTCCCGCGAAACCCTTTTTTGGGTCGAAAACGGCAGAACATGACGTCACTCTGACGTCATTTCCGGCCAACGTATCATAGGCTTTGGAAAAAATTTGGTCACAATGTGTAAGATTGATGTCCGGGAGGGTACTGAAAGTTTGGTGACGATCGGCGCAGCGGTTCTGGAGATATATCGAAAAGTCTGGAGGGGGGGGGGGCGAAAAATAGCCCCCCCACCAGGTCGCGGGTTAAAACAACTCACACGCGAAATCACGTGTTGGTCGTTTTAAGCTGAATGTCACGTGTTTTAACACACTTTTCGATTGTTTTAATTCAAAAATTAACAGTTTTAAATTGGGCTTCATTTGTCTTAACTTGGTTCGAAAATGGTGTAGTCTGATCTGGCCGGGCTAGTGGGGCGCTCTCCACTGACCGAGAGGACCGCGCTGTCGGAGGATGGGGCTCTGTGGGACGTACTTACGGGGACCCGCAGTTGCTACTGTACAGCGACCCTGAGTAAATTGTCCCAGTACCCTCACAGGGAACAACGATAAGCTGTCAGAGGGCACGCACAGAAAACCTCAGCTGCTCTTGTACAGGGACTGGCAGTCGATATCAATGTTATCGGTTGTTACTGAACAGGACAGACGGCTTGAGTTGGGGTTCGTGTACAGTAGCAACTGCGGGTCCCCGTACCTTGGGGTGGAGCTTCAAATAGAGTGTTGGTGAATCATTCCCTTTTCGAATAGTTTTGTTTTTCAATCCATGCTATTTACCGTGACAGTTGTTATCGTCCATTTCATCTTCCTTGGTGTGGTTGGCCCTTGTTGCTGGTCCATTCAGCTGCCATTTGGCTATGGGCCGCCTGAGAGCCGGCTGACTGACACCGCCGCGGCCGGCCGCAGGCACCCGGCGCGCTGCCGGCCCGACGCCACTACATCTGGACGCTGATCGGGCGACCGTTTGAGTTCAGAACGGTCCGAGGGGCGGCGGCCCGGCCGCGGCCCGCCTCTGGCCGTCCGTGAGCCGCCAGCTCGCCGGGCCGGCGACCAGGGAGCGGCTGCAGCACCGACCACTGCCGTGCTCAATGTCTTGCCGCGCGCGCCCCGCCAGTCATCAGATGCACGCGCCGCTCGCTACTTTTGCCAGTGAAGAGACGTTATGAATGATCCTCCACAGTTTCGCTAGGAGGAGCCCAACGCAGGCGTGGTTTTAGGGCTGCCGGTTCAGTGCCTCAGCGCTCCCGGAGATTACGCTGTGGTCGCCTTGGACAGTTTGAGTTATAAGTTGGATCGTTGTGCAGTGTGGCTCTCCCGCGATCGTTTTGAATGCTGAATGAACTACGCATTTTGGAGCATGTCCGCAATTTCATCGGGTAGCTAACTGAGCTCCTGAGATCTCACTGGACGAACTATGGCACACAATGTGTTTGGTGTAGTTTCTGAAATAGGTAGATACCGCCTAGTTGGGGTTTTCATGCAGTCGCGATTGTACCGTCATAGCCTTGATCGAATACTAGACTGTTTAATATATCGGTAGCATCAAAATTAAGAATGACTGATAGAATACCTCAACGCAACGACTCAAATGAATATGCAAATAGCGATGTGATGTGTTTGTGATTTAGTTAACAACCCGTGTGGTGGATATGACTGTGCTGCTTATATCCCCGCCAATTGTACATAGCTGGCTGCTCAGTGAGCTGACGCCGGCCGCTAACTGTACATAGTTTTCCGTCGGCGCCCGCTGGCGCCGTCTGCAGCGGAGCCCGCAGTGTCCGCCTGCCGCGGTTTAGACTTTAGTTGCATCTGGCGCCGGCCGGAGCCGGTCGCCGCGCCGGCGTGTCGTAGGCCCGGCGCCGCCGCTGCTGGCGCGTCGGCCGGCGTTCGGTGGTCTCAGGTCGCGCTGTGACGGCGATTTCCCGGGTGCCTTTGTCGCGGTGCCGCTGGACAGTGTCCTGTCCAGCGCGGTACACAGCGGCCCCAGCGCCGCCTCGGAGCGGCCCGGTTCACCGCACAGTCTGTTCAGATCATGCGCGGTCCGCGGGTCTCCAGGTCTGAACGTTGGCCGAGTGTCCTTGGCCGTCCGGTCGTCCCCATACGTGGTTGGACCGCTGGCTCCCTCCGTTTGCGCCGCTGGTTCCCTCCGTGTGCGCCGCTGGTTCCCTCCGTGTGCGCCGCTGGTTCCCTCCGTGTGCGCCGCTGGTTCCCTCCGTGTTGGACCGCTGGCTCCCTCCGTGTTGGACCGCTGGTTCCCTCCGTGTGCGCCGCTGGTTCCCTCCGTGTTGGACCGCTGGCTCCCTCCGTGTTGGACCGCTGGCTCCCTCCGTGTTGGACCGCTGGCTCCCTCCGTGTTGGACCGCTGGCTCCCTCCGTGTGCGCCGCTGGTTCCCTCCGTGTTGGACCGCTGGCTCCCTCCGTGTTGGACCGCTGGCTCCCTCCGTGTTGGACCGCTGGCTCCCTCCGTGTGCGCCGCTGGTTCCCTCCGTGTGCGCCGCTGGTTCCCTCCGTGTTGGACCGCTGGCTCCCTCCGTGTTGGACCGCTGGCTCCCTCCGTGTTGGACCGCTGGCTCCCTCCGTGTGCGCCGCTGGTTCCCTCCGTGTGCGCCCGGCCGGCCGCCGTCAGTCTCGCGGCGCGCGCGCCTCTGCGTGCCGACGGCGGCGGTGCGCCCTCCCAACTGGGACGCCGCCGTGTTACGTTTCACCGATATCACCTGTCTATGCTGTTGGGCTGACCATACCATGTTGATGAAATATACTCGAGCTGAGGGACCTCACCGCCTTGTCCCAGCGCTGTGCGCACAGGCCAGATAGGCGGCCAGATCCCGAAATACCGTTATAGTTCATTTTTCCCAAACATATCCGGCTTCAGAAGAACTATCGAAACTGTCGCGTGAGTTTCGGCAAGTTCTGCGTCTGATCAAGAATTTCCAACGGCTAAAATCCTCATTTTCGATTTGTGCTTGATAAAAATACATGGAAATTGTGCCTGCCAAAATGTGCATGCTATGTTGAAGCCACTAGTTGTAGGGGAGACCCGGGAGGTATGAGCCCCTGGGAGGAATGGGCCATCGCAGTTTTGAAGAAGTGTTGCGCATTTTTACACATTTGACCGAGTAAACTGGTAGCAGCCATTTCGTTATACAACCCACGTGCTTTCCAAAATCTTCCTCAGTCTTCTTTGGCAATGAGCGGTGATAATGAGTTTTTGCTCTCTTCAAGCAAAATACGGTACATACAGAAAATTCATGATAAATTTGAACCAGGCTCGTTTTATTATATTACATAACCAAGCTCGTTTTATTATGTCAGACCATTGCTAACATAAAGTTTAACCCGGCAGGCGGTGGGCCTCCCGGCCACCTTCCGCGCGGTGGGGGGGGGGCATTTTTTGCCCCCCCCCCCGTATTTCCGAAACTACTGGACGGATCCGGAAAATTCAAACGGCGTTCGATAGCCCTGTCAAATTTGTCGAAAAAAAAATTAAATTTCATTTACCTCGGGGTCGCCGATGACGTCACAGGTCAGGTCAAAGATAAAATGCTTCACCGTTCACGGGTATTCTAGGGAATGCGCTATACCACCGAGGAAAACGCATTTTGTCGAAAATCAGCGATAGGGCGTCAGTTGTCTACTAAATATGTTGCTATTAGAGGTCTCTGGTCATTTCAGGTCAGGTCACAGGTCAGGTCACCAAAGGTCACCAAGGGTCACCACATGAACCCAACATTACTAAGGTTGTGCGATGCATGTTTTATGGCCAGTTTTTCATTTCCAACTCAATGGTGTTGGTTATAAGACCATCAGGTACGGTTTAGGTCACTTTCTGGTGGAGGTCAGGTCAAGGTCAGGTCAAAAAAGGTCAAATTTCAAAGTTGATATTTTTGCATAACATGGGTATTGATTCGATGCAGCTCGTCACGGGGAGTCTAATGGTGGTCTTTGTTTTGCGCTACGAGGTCTAGAATTGCTTAAAAAAATTGAGTTTGAAAATTTGACGTCATCAATTTTGAACAGTTTTTTCGCTATAACTTGGCCAAAAAAGAGGTATCGATCTCAAATGTGGTATGTAGATAGAAGTTGGCAAGGACTATTACATATATTCCGGTTTTTTCGAAATTCAAAAACTTTTCGGATTTTTCGACTATTATATTCAAAAAATCTATTTTTTTATTTTAGGGATCAAAATAAAAAAATCGAAAAACCGAAATCGCAGTTTTGTAGCCCTCTTGATTCCGCACCTTTTATGCCTGAAACATTTTTCTGTATCTCTAAAGCTGTAGGCCTGACGGCTCTTCCCGCGAAACCTTTTTTTGGGTCGAAAATGGCAGAAATGACGTCACTCTGACGTCATTAGCGGCCAACCTATCATAGCCTTTGGAAATTTTTTGGTCACCATGTGCGCTAGCTACTCCCGGGAGGGTACTGAAAGTTTGGTGACGATCGGCGCAGCGGTTCTCGAGATATATCGAAAAAACAAAAGGGGGGGGGCAAAAAAATGCCCCCCACCGCCTGGTTAAAGGTTAAAGCATGCAAAGTAAGACTGGCATGGTGTGTCAGAAGTGGAAATAGCCGCACGGCTTTAGTTTTCTAGCCTTGTCAACAGATAGCAGTACCGCAATATGGGCGGCGGATCGTGCAATTGACGTCAAATTTTCGGTACCTGCTAAAAATGGAATGACGGAACTTATGCAAAAATGAAGTAAATCGGTCCACAACTTTTCGAACAAAGTGAAACACCCTGCCGGAGCGGCGCACACTGGGCCGATCGCCAGGTCTAGCACGACATGGGTAAAAAAATCGGACGTTGTGGATGTGCAATGAAACCTATACCAATTTGTTCAAAAATGATCATACTACATTGCTGTGGTCTTTGGTTTCCAACACAATTGCTATTTCATGGCGAAAACTCAGCTTAACCCGCGCCCCACTGGGGTCTGCGTATAACACGCCCTACGGGGGGGGGGGCTATTCATAGCCCCCCCTCCTAACTCCGAAACTACTGGGCCGATCGTCAAAATTCAAACGGCGTCTGATAGCCCCGGAAAAACTGTCGAGCGAAACCTAATTTCTTTGACCTCGAGGTCACCGATGACGTCACAGGTCAGGTCAAAGTAAAAATTATTAGCATTTTGGTTTGTTCACGTTTTGGGCTCTGGCCGCCGTCCTACAAGTCAGATCAGGCTCATTTTTGGTTCACACACTCGTGAACAGATGCTCTAGATACCCTGAGGGTACCAAACTTGTACTTTGATTTTCAGGTCAAGGTCAGGTCATCACAGGTCACGAAAATATCATATCATGCGTCGGTCACGTGACACATGTTTTATGGTCCATTTAGGCCAAAGATTTCGAATTTGATGTCGTCTGTGTCATTTGAGGTCATTTTGAGTCAAATTTAGCTTAGGTCAGGTCACTTTCAGGTCAAAAAAGGTCAAATTTTGAAGTTATAATTTTTCAACAGAAAAGGTGTCTATTGGATGCAGTTTGAGCTCAGGAACACGATGGTGCTATTTATATTGGCGTACGATGTCAAATACGTGGTGAAAAATTGATTTGAAAAATTAATAATTGTGAATTTTTTTGCAATAATGCGTATAACTTGGCAATTTTTGAAGATATTTAGCTGAAACTTGCTAGAGTTAGTCATAATAACGCGTTCTATCACATATATTCCGGTTTTTTCGAAAAGTCAAAAACTTTGAAAAAAATGTAAAAATGAAAATTTTGAATTTTATTATATAAAATTTTCGAAATTTTCAAAATTTCGAAAATCCGAGAGAGCAGTTTGATAGCGCAGTCAATTCTGAGTCCTCTCATGCAAAGAAATTGGATCTAGCTTAATAACTGAGCCCTTGGGAGCGATTGCCGTGGTTCGATGTTTTGCGTCGAAATCGGCCGAACATGACGTCACTCTGACGTCATTTCCGGCCGACCTATGGTAGCTACGAAGTTCAAATTTTGACACAAGGTGTCAAATTGATGCAGCCGAAGGTACTGAAAGTTTGGCGTCGATACGTCAAGCGGTTTGGAAGTTATTGCAGAAAAACGGGAGGGGGGCTATAAATAGCCCCCCCCCCCCCAGTGGGGCGCGGGTTAAACACGAACTTCGGAATCGTTTGGACCGAACTCGTCCCCCGCACTTTTCAACCTTTGACCTTGACCTTTCGAGGTCACCATATATATCATTCGATGCGGATTGACGAGAGGATCACGATGATGCCCTTAGTTTGTTCCTATCTTGACTAATTCGAAAGTTATTCGAGAAAAACTCCATATCTAGCGCCGCTATTTTGACTTTTTCGACCCCTGTGGCGTCATCTTTGACCTGACCTGAAAATGACCTGTGTAAAAATTGTAGACCTTGACCGTGGGTATCCGAGCCCGTTTACCGCTTGTCGCTATCTTGCTTCGTTCTCGAGATCTCGGGGGGGGGGGCGGTCATCCGCGCCCCCCCCCCCCCCCCGTCTGTACGGAGTTGGCGCAGACCCCCGTCGGTGCGCGTGTTAATAAACTTATGTGCAGGGTTAGTAATAAGATACCAGTTCCCTGTTATTTCCTCATTAAATCGTGAAACAGGGAGTTATTGGAGACTTCGCAAGCACGTGTTATTTTCGCTAGTTTTCACATATGTCTTTACTTGGCCTAAATTAACCTTCGCCCCAGTGCACAGTGGGGATTTTTTCCGATCTAGCGCGTCTTAATTCCAAAACTTTTTTTTGGATATTGTTTATTTTTTGGTGTCAGTGGGGCTAGGAAATGTCTGAATTTTCATATATGGCATTGTTTTATCTGTATGTCTACAGCAAGACTAGGAAAAATGCGCCCAAAGTTCACACTCATGCATGATTACTCAATGGGCTCAGTAAGGCCCGAAAGTATTGCTCAATTTCATTGTCCTGTCCTGTTGGTTTTGTTCTTGCGAGGTCATAAAGTTGCATATCTTCTGAAAGGCACCTTTATTAGGAATGGAATGGCAAACAGAAAGTATGCCACAACCTTACGAAGGTCACAAAAATGCCATTTACAAAAAAAAAAACCCTTACAGACACCCAAGGGCGCACACAAGGGGGGGGGGGGTGGCACACGGGCCCGTGCCCCCCATTCGAGTTGGGGGGCCCAACTCGAAGGAAGGGGCGGCCGCCTCAAATGGGCCTCTAACTAATCCTTAGACCACCGAAGACCGTGTACAACGGGCCCTCAAATGGCCTTAAAGGGCCTTCAGATGGTCTCAAAAGGCCCTCAGATGGCCTCGAAGGGCCCTCAGTTTGCGTCATAGGGCCCTCATCTGGTGTCAAAGGGCCCTTAGATGGTGTCAAAGGGCCCTCAGATGGCCTTAAGGAGCCCTCAGATGACCTCAAAGGACTCTCAGATGGCCTTAAAGGGCCCTCAGATAGCCTCAAAGGGCCCTCAGCTAACGTCAAACGGACGTCAGAAGGCCTTAAAGGGTGTCAAAGGTCCCTGAGCTGGCGTCAGAGGGCCATGCCCTTACGTCAAATGGCTCTCCGAAGGCTCTAAAGGGTCCTTAGCTGGTGACAGAGGGCCCCCAGCTGGTGCCAGATGGCCCCCAGCTGGCGCCAAATGGCCATCAGAAGGCCTCAAACGGTCCTCAGTTGGCGTCAAGCGGCCCTCAAAAAGCCTCAAGGGGCCCTTAGAAGAACTCAAGGGGCCCTCAGAAGGCCTTAAAGAGCGTCAAAGGGCCTTGAGCTAGCGTCAGAGGGCCCCCGCCCCCAGCTAATGTCAGAGGGCCCTGAGTAGCGTCAAACTTAAAGTGCCC